TATGACGACTTGCATATAGTGCGCCTACTGTATTTGTACGAAATAATGCCTTTCTATGAGTATATTCTGTGTGGCAGTGTAATTTAAAGGGGTTATGTGTCTAGCATTAAGTATGTAATTTAGTTCACCAATTAAGTCACTGCTGGATTGAGTTGGGGGGAGGGCTGCCTTCAGCATGGAGGGTATGAGCAGGAGGGGGAGAAGGAGGTGCTCATGCGGTCCTGTACTGACCTGTGCTGGAAGTTGAGTGGCAGGCCACCCCCTGCCATGCCCCCCCCTGCTCTCCCTCCCTCTGTGGGGTCGTCTGATCCACCCCAATGCGCCGGCGATTCCTCTGGCCAGCATCTGAACATATGGCGACAGGGTGAGAGGATGAGGGTGGATGGTGCGCAGGAAGTGTACTCTGCAACACCGAGGTCGTGCGCTGCCCTGACCACTCCCCATCCCAACACACTGCCACCCTGCACGACAAGGGTGTCACGCTCACATGTGAGCAACCACACATTTACTTGTAGACCATGGCAGAGGGAAAGATGGATGTGTGGTTGACAAACTTGATCAGAGACAAGTATGATGTTGACAAAGCCTGTACAATTTAAGTCATATCATACATTATAAACCTATTTGAAAACAGATTGCGTGTAGTCCTCAGGTCTGATTCTATTTTGTCTTTTAATGTCTGAATTAAACATGATAACAGAATTAGAAAACGGCTTTACATTACGACACTTAGTCCAAGCTAATCCATCAGCTAATGCTAAAAACATACTTTTCACCAGATGAAAATATTATTAACAGAATTGCCTAGATAATATAAATGTTAAGCACATGAGAGCAGCAAAGGCTTTTCCACTGAAAAGCCAAAAGGCTGCATTATGTTTAGTATAAATCCTGCATATATGGTACGAGGAGGACATGCTCTGAGTGGGAGTTTAGATCAATACAAGCAAACAGCAAGGACACCTCTGGCAATTCAAAAGCAACCACACCTTTAATTAGTTTTCAGAATAGCCTGTTAACATGTTGTAATAAAAAGGCCTGCTAAATGATATCCTGCTATGTAATTGGCCCATTCAGTTACAAATAACTGCATTTTACATAACAATCACAAATCAGATTTGAAAAAGGGAAAAAAATATAATAGACAGTAATAAATATTCCAAAGCAAATATTGTGCATGTGTCAATGACATAAAGGCTGATTAAATCCTCAAACTTGTACTGAAGAAAAGGTAATATCCCAGTGTTCATAGGCTGCTGGTATAGCATCATCCCTCCCCCTCACCACCATCTCATTAATAGAAACTCGATTTGCGGACAGCTGCACTCGCGTACACATTATAGGAGAATTGATTGCACCCAGCACACAATGAAAAGGATGAACACCAGGGAGGGAGGGAGTGAAAGAGGAGTGAATTAATTAAGAGAACCAGGTGGTCAAATGTTGGGTGGAAAATCACTAGCTAATGACACATCACACTGTGGACACAGTCTTGCAGTGGACGGTTGTCTATTGTTGAAATACTGTGGCTTCATCTGAAACTGACCTTATGCTCCTTGAGCCACATGGCAAATGAGTGCGTGTCAGAATGCATATTCCTCTCAATAATTATATAGAAAATACCCCCAACACAAACATTAAGTGACGAGTCATTTAAATGAATGATTGTTGTCATCATAGACAGCACTGGGCTGATACGTGGGGCAACTGGGTAATCCTTCCTTTACCTTAAATTATCAGCTCATTTGCATTTCAATGAGTTGTGTTATCGACACTCCTTTGATGTAGAGCGGCATTTTCAGATACATGTTATAATTAGGCATATCTAATATGCTATAGTCTGATTAGTAATACGTGAAGGATTTGGAAACATTATCAGAATAGCTTACTTTGTTTTACTCAGATAGCTCTTGCAACTTTTGACATGCCCTATATATAAAGCATATTGTGTGTTATTGGAGGTACTTTTGTGTAGTTTTGGGGTAAAGAAAAAAAGTCTCACTAAAAAGGTATATTATCATATGGGAAGATAACCAAAACTAATATTATTTGGAAGATCTTATTTATTAATGCTGGGGTATGTCTTTTTTTTTAATTTAACTACTACTGCTGTGCCATAACAAAACTCATGATTTGCTTAACCAAGAAATACATGCATGCAAAAAGCTTTAATTTGAGCAAGTGGTAACGTGCATTACAAACGTCCACCATTATAACAGACTCAAAAGGGGATTCAAACTTTTTAATGTATCACTTAATTGATTTACCTTTACACTTTAACGTTATCGCCATTGTTCAATCAAGTGGATATGTTCACACACTATAGTACAAAATAAAGCACGAATTGAAGTAACAAAGAACCTCATTTCAAACTACAACAGCCTGGTAATGTGGGTGTTCCAAGTTATTTTGTATGTGAACGTATTGGTTTAGCAACGGATTGCAACGTAACGTGAAGTTGACTTAATGTAGCAATTATGCATTATCTTAACTTACGTGAACGTTACACATAAAAGCTTGATCCCCAAAGCAAACATAAGACCCATTTTAGCTTAGCTATCATGTGTGGAAAATGGCTCTTCGCCCGTCTTACCTGGCCTGTGCTTCGTCCAGGCTTTCGTCGGTGATGGCCATTATTTGCTGTAGGATATCCCCTATGTCTTGTTGAGGTTGGCCGAGGGACTGCTGTTTTCTAACCGAGTCTGGATCACCGACATCGGCTTGTGCTAGTCCAGCGAGTCCTGTGAGACCCGTCAGCATCCTGGTCTGGTCATCCATACTTTCAAAGAAAACTCGACTCGTTTTCTTCAGTCGAAGAATACACACAAATAGCTAGCCTGTTAGCTAGCCAGCAAAGTATATTCTACGACCAATCATACAACAATTCTTACCGTAACCGACAGCGACGACTAGAAAATAGTTAAGGGCTGGTGTCATAAAACAGATCACACAAACACACTTTACATTCGCTTGTGTTTTCCCCCTCTAGTCAATAAACGCGGCCAGGCTAACGTTAGCTAACCACCGAATGAAAAGCAGCTAGGTTAGTAGCCGTAGCCCAGCAGAAAAGCAGCAGGGACACACATGCAAAGACTGTGTGAGCTGGCCAACAGCGCCTCGCACATTTTCGAAATAAAAAAAAAAAAAAATGGCAATAGACGACCACTGTTGTGAAACTAAAGCTCGCAAATACAAAAGAAGAAATAAGACGCGCAAACAGCCACTAAGCTTGTCTAGCTCCAATCAGCAATCTCCTACCAAAACACACTATGGTTAACCATTGTTGTTGATGTCGCGCGAGTATGTGGGACGTTCTGGGCTGCGCGAGCTGAGTGCGTCTCACTGACCATTGAACTCGCAGCACCACAGAGCGCGAGCTTGCGGGTAGTCTACTATAGAGACGCTACACATATAGAAACATATTCTGTATTAGCTGGTGCCTTGTTGGATACAGTGCATCAAATCATAATTTTGTGACACAGCCCTCCTTAACCTATAACTGTATTATGGTTCAGGTGACAAGATCCTCCTCTTCTACGCTCTTTACAAATGGATAGCCCCTTACGTCATCAGCATTGCTTGTCGTATTATAATTAGTCCATGCCATTTTCCTCATTAGTATAAGGTAAGATCCCGTACCTAACAATATTATTTTCTCAACACAACTTTCAAATGCATGCTTTCTTTTTGACATTTAAAGAACTGAGGTGTGCTATTTTTAAATTAAACATGCTGTAGCTTCATATAGCAATTAGACAGCATTGTGTATTAATAAGCAAGATGTTAGAGCCTCTGTCGTTTACAAATATTGGTTTGAGAATGTGCATTGTGTAAGTGAGTCTAACAAACCACAATACCTATTCCCGCTTTCCATGTTTAATAGAATAAAATGACATATTTGGTCTCTGAGAGTTAGTGTCATTTAATTATTTGTGCCTAAAAGTCAATGCTAGGATGTTCATGTGTATGAGCAAATTGTGGCAATTTCCAGAGCAGTATTCAATATTAAAGCAAAACAGTACAACCTGAGAATATCATTTTGTCCTAAACCCCCGATGAATGAAACTTCCCATCAGTTTTCAGTATGAAAATGTTGACAGCACAGATTGAAAACAAGTGTCCTTGTTTTTTGCAAACTGGGCAATTCTGCTGTAGTTTATCACTCAGATCAGAGAGACAGCTTTCCAAGACGAATGGCTGGCTGAATGGATGTGGAGGAGAGCTGCAGCCAGGCTTGCTGTAGTGAGAAGAGATGATGGGTGTGCATGAGGGAGTAGGACCAAACTGGCAGTGGTTTATGCTGACTCTCCACACATCCATCTACTACAATCTGTAGCTAATCAATCTAAAGTTAGAGACAACAAGGATAGAGAATAAAGCAATCATAAATTGTTCTTTGCATGTGCATATAGTACAAGTCACACTTTAGTCTTGGTGGTATTATCAAGCAGTGTATTTTATTGTTTACCCCGGCCACAAACACATCTCTATTCTTATTTACATTCAACCTTTAGGTATAAGAAAAAATAACCTTTCTAAAAATAGTCAACAAACAATAACCTATCCCTAACCCTAACCCTAAGAACCTGGAGGGACTGGGCACAACGCGGGCACCTTTATCCAAATATGCTCCTAAAGCAAACACTTTAAGATGGCTTCTAACATGCCATTTACATGGGTCATTGAGGTTTTTAAAAGGATGTTTATTATACAATAGAAAGTGAGGAACTGCAGGGGTTATCATCTAACTCTTAAGTCAGTCTCCCTGTCATGAGAGACTTTGCCTTGAAAATAAAAAGACTGTCAGAGGCTTTGTTAACTTCTTTATCTGTTTTATTGTTGGTGATTCATTTAAGGATCATTTCTGTGAAACTTCTATTCATTTGGATGCTAAAGCTGCCCTCCTCTCACCCCACAAGCATCAAGCCTCATTTTCATCTAAATAAGAATCGATCTTTCCTGCTGTGCACCATCCTCCTTTACTCACAACTCTCACGGTCACAACCCTGCTTGTCTTCTCTGTGCTTGTCCCCTGCTCTCTAGTCGCTCCCTTGAATACAATAACAAGACAAATTCAGCATACCCCATGTTGGAGCTCAGAACTGCAGAGCAGGGAGTCATTCACACTCAATGTATTGTTGTCGATGTTAAAAGGGGGATTCTTCTCTGTTATCAGAGAAAAATTAAGTATGAACATTAATGAGTCCAAGTGATAGGAGTGATAGTGAACAAAGCGTTGACTGACTGGTACAATGTCAAAGCTTCGTTCTGCATCAGTGACCCAGCCAAATGCAAGAGATGGGGGTGAGTCACGGTGGGGGAGGGGCCTCCTCCTGAATGGTCAGGGGACACTGATGAAGTGAAATAGATGCAGCACCAAAGAGAGAATAAATGTAACTGGGGATGAGTGTGTAAAAAGGATGTACATAAAAAAGACTTTATTGATACCTTATATTCAATATTTGTCAAAGTTGACTAAGTACATTTCAATTAATACATTGGCGTTTCTTCACAGGTTTAATAACATTATGTATACACACCAACATGGTTCAGCTTCTCTTTGCGTGTCTTTTTAGTATATTCAAAAATGTGTAGTAATCAAACCACTTAAAGTGTCCTTCCAATACAATTGTCAGACTCAATTTTTTAAGAAACAGTCAAGTTGGTTCCCAATATAGAGATTATATATATTTTTATTTCAGGAACAAGGAGCAATTACTTGTTTTGGGGGGATGTTTTTACAAAGGTTTGGGAAACATTTGCCTGTTCCTTAATTCTTAACAGCTTCAGGTTTTACAGGTAATACAATGAATGAAGGCCTAACAGAAAAATCCACTCTGGCCTTTCTCCAAGCTTCTTATAACATTGTATAGCCAGCCACTGCCACCTGCTGGTCAAACACATGGACTAACTGAACTATTGCCACAGTCAAACATGCAGAAGTCAGAAGTGAGAAGAATCTCCTGACAAAGAAATCTATATAATAATACCAGACGAAAAAAGACTTGGCAATGAAAGTTTTCAAATCACATGTCAGTGAATTTACCAGAAGGTACACAAATATATGAGCTTCATCAATAATCCGTAATGAGCCATGACCAATTAGATGATCGATTGCTTGTGCTTGCCTCCATCCAAAAGGGACTATGTAGTTGTCGAGGGTAAAGGTGCAGCCATGAAATTCCTGATGAGGTCAGGCAAAGAATCCTGGATTCCAACCTCTGCCGCTGTTAGGTAAAAGTAATCACAGTGATTGTTAAATTACAGCATTCCAGTTTATTCAATAGAAAAAATTAAAGATAAATAAAATCCTTACCCAATCTGCCACTGGTCTCTTTCACCAATAACTGCAACTGCTCCTTGATGGATGAAAGCTGTTTAACCATCTTACTTTGAGTGTCCATCTACACATACAAAAAGAAACAACTGATTACATAACATGGAAAAGCAATACAATTAAAATAAATAAATCATGTTACTTGCTTTTTAAGGTTTGATGCATTCATAATTGAGAAATAGTCAGCATGTTTACAGTGTAGTAAAAAAATTATGTATTTATCTATTTATTATTTATATTTATGTATTTATTTGTATTTTTATGTAAAAAAAAAAACATTAAAACTCTGGCAAAAAATAAATTGTCTTCTTAAAGCATTTATCATGTTTCTGCAATACATCAACATTATGACAATGTAGCAACGCATATTGTAATTAGTCATCAGATAAGTCAAATGTGGATTTATTATTATTCTATTGGTTCCCAAAGCCCAAGGTATGATTAGGAAAAATGCCAATGGATACATTTATTCTGATTGGTTTAAAGTCTTAAAGCTGGCATTGACTGCCAATAAGAGAGAAGCATCTGCTTAATGTTTCATCACTCTCACCGCAGCCAGCTTCTATATTTTACAATACGCCGCCATACAGATGGTATGTGAGAACAATGTAGTATATATAAAAACGTTCAGCTTTTGCTAAAATTGTCTATAGTTTGTACTGTTACTAGGAGTAAAGAGATTAAAGTGTAATTTCCAACCTACAATCATTGTCATAGTGTGAAGCATGGGCAGTTGTCGACGGAGCAGAGCGTTGTAGTCGGGTTTGCTCTGAATGCAATGGTACTGTGATGACTGGGCCACAGATGCTGAGTCTAATGGTATGCCTCCTTCCTGGCCCCGTTCCACTTTCCTGAAACAAATAAAGAGAACATTATTGAAACACAATTGAGAAGATAATATTGGCACACGCTAACACAGTATTGCTACAATATTCCTCAATGAAAGTGTTCATGTTCACCTCGCCAGTTCCTCTGCTTTACTCCTGTGTTTGTTCAACAGTGCCTCCCAAGATTCACTTTCAGCCTGCAGCCTGAAAAAAATAAATCACAGACTGGTAAACAAAATAATGTAATGTGTAGGTCACATCTTGTCTGTTTTTAAGATTGAATGTATGGTTATTGGTGCATGTAATATGTGTGCTGAAGTGATATCGAAACAACATACCTATTGATAGCCTTCTGTAACTTTTCGCTGGCTCTATGAACTGCAGGATCACTAGAATTGAAGCAAATAACAGGAGATAAATCCAGTAATAAACATTAATTTATATGTCAAAAAACATAATTAAATAAATATGATATAATTCATGCACAGTAGTAAAAAAAGGCGATTATACCTGGCTGCTTTGGCAGAGGGTTCATCATTCCCTGGTTCTTTGCGTATTATTTTAGTAAGATGTCCCCAATCTTTCTCCATGTGCTCAACTGCACCAAAGACAACACATATAAATAGCATGAACTTAATATTTCTTTGACAGTTATTTATGTTGAAATATCCACCAGGTGAAGCAGCGTATCCTCCAACCTTGTTTTTGTAAGGACTCCAGTGAGCTGTTCGGTACTGATTGCAGCAAATTCTGAGTTCTTTCTATTGCCATCTAGAGACAAAGCAGAGTTAATTAGACAGTGATTCATTAGTCTTAGAAGCTAATTAAAGTGAACTTTATGTTCTCTTCCAACCTAACATCAAGAACTTTACAGACTACTCATTATGCCCAGAGGATTAACCTTTAAGACATCCTTTGTGCAGAAGGTTTAAAATTCTTGAGTGGTGTTCGTTCCAGAGCCAATGCCCATTATTTGTTATTACCAAGTGGTTCATTTTATAATCCAACATGTGTCCACATATTTTCAGTTAAGTGAAAAAGATTATCTT